GGGGAGTGGAAATGGGGGGTTAAGGACACATATGTAATACCTTAATCAATAAAGAAAAAAAAAGAAAAAAAGAAATTCCTGTCAATCCATGATTCTATATCCAGAAAAATCATTCTTTAAGAATGAAGACGAGCCCTGGCTGGTGCGCTCAGTGGTTAGAGCTTCTGCCTGCACATTGGAGGGTCTTGGGTTTGATTCCAGTCAAAGGCACATACTGGGTTGCAGATTGCAGGTCCGCCCCCCGCCCCCAGTCAGGGCAAGTGTAGGGAGCAACCAATCTATGTGTCTCTCTCACATCTATGTTTCTCCCTCTCTCTCCCCCTTCCCTTTCACTCTCTCTAAAAGTAAATGGAAAAAATATTCTCACTCCTTGGGTGAGGATTAAAAAAAAGAACGAAGATAAAGCCCTGGCTGATGTGGCTCAGTTGGTTGGAGCATTGTCTGTGCACCCGAAGGTTGCAGGTTCGGTTCCCAGTCAGGGCACATAGGTTTTGGGTTCCATCCCTGGTCCACAGCATAGGTGAGGCAACTCTTGATATATGTCTCACATTGATGCTTCTCTCTCTGTCTTTCTCTTCCTCCCTCTAAAGAATAAAAAATTAAAAGAATAAATACATTTTTTTAGATAAAAGAAAACCAAGGTGTGGTCAGCCAATCTGAATGACAAAAAAATGCTAACAAGATAGATCTTATATTGTCTTAACACAGAGACACACAATAATAATAATAATAATAATAATAATAAAGAGGGTGGGAGAAAACTTTTGGAGATGATGGATATGTTTATGGCATATATTGCGATGGTTTCACATTTATATACTTATCTCCAAATCCTACACATTAAATATATATACGGTTTTCGTTTGTCAGTATTTAATGACCGCGTCGGTATGAAAACGAATATGGTCCATGCTGAGTACATATTATTATCGATTTTTTTTCTTCTGATTTTAACAAAAACTGACATATTTTTCCTTTGGCTGTACAAGTGGAGAACAGTCGGGGATGGGGCCGAGCAGGGAAAGGGGCGGGGATAGAGGGGGAGGAGGCCAACGCTTCTCCAGGCTGTCCGCCTTATCCTTCTTCTCTTCTCCCCTCCGT